TACATATATATATATATATATATATATATATATATATATATATATATATATATATATATATATATATATATATATATATATATATATATATATATATATATATATTTATAAATTAAAATTTATCTACATTTTAAAATAGATTTTAAAATGTATTTAGCATTAGAAATTTTCAATTTAAAATTCACAATTAAAATGAATCGAATTTAAAAAAATCACATTCAAAACGAAAATTATCAAAGTTTTAAATTTTTAGATGTGGTAAAAATAATCATTACATACATTAAAAAAATACATTAAACATTAAATAAAAATTTCAATAAAGATACTACATATGAATTATAGGGAAAAAAGCAAGACCAAGTTTATATGGTAAGACAATTAGTTTATATATGATCTATGCAACACTTTAGATCTATGCAACACTTTAGATGTCATGTTAAAGCTTTTAAAATTAGATAAACAGCTAATGTTTAAATCTTTCGAGCATATAGGCATTTCAAACAACGATTCCAATTGATTAAATCTGAAAGTTGAACAAACATAGTATCCATTATCTTGTTTTTCTTCAAGAAAACAAAAACCATTTTTCAAAATCAATTTGAAAAACTGAATCATGAAAGCGTATAGACGGAATATTAGTTTTGGCAAATTGAATTCGATGCGTAAAACTCTCTAATTCAGCTTGACGTTTTGCCACTTTTTGAATTTCTAATAAAACTTTTCAACACCTTCATATAGTTTTCAGAAAAAAATGCAGAAACTTGATTCAGTGAGCACTGCTTATTAATAACATCTTCATGAATATGCAATTAACTATGTACATTATAAACACAAAAATTATTTCCACAGAAATGCTTTGAACTTTTTACAAACCAAGATAACAACGAATGAGCAAAATTAAGATAATGCATACGAAGTTCTTTATTCTTATTTAATAGTATACGCATAGCTACACTTAAGGCAAGAAAGTGTTGATAAATAGTGTTAGACACAATTCCTTTGAGCACAATCAAACCAGTGTATAACAAAAACTGTCTAAATTCAGCAGCTTTCTAGTATTTTAAGTCATCTAGTGATCTTGGTTGCCTTGCAAATTCTGATGGTAGTTTACCATTTAATGTTAAAAGACGATCTGAAATAGGTTTTACTTGCGTGGTCAATAGTTTACATGATCTTGGTCCTATTTTTAGAAAATTGAGTAATCTTTTTACAACACCAAGACATACCAAATGCATATAATCCAAAACAAAATCGTTTACACAACTTATATGAGTACGAACAAGAGAACTCGAAAAATGTTGATGAGTATTATTGTATTTAAAATTATTAAAGTCAGTAGTGTTAAGAAGTGCAAAATCTTTATCACCATTAAATACTACTCTGTTATCTATATATGATCCCTTAGTTTCACACCGTTCACAAGAATAAAAGCCTATATGCCCTATAGTTTCCTTTACAAAGGAACGAGCTGGAGCATCACAAATAAAAGATTTAATGAAAAATTTATATGTGCAACTTTCATAGATAATGCCATCAGCTTCAAGTAAATTGATTTCAGCAGTAAAGTTTTTTAAATACTCAGAAGCAAAACTAGGTTTAGACTTAGAAGCATCAATTAACATTAGAAGCATCAATTAAAACAAGGATAGGCCAAATCTGAACTTTAGATGATTTAAATATGGGAACTCCATCAACATTAATACAAAGTTCTATTTTAGTGTTTTTATTAAGGAAGTTAGATATTACTTGCAACTGTTTTTTAATGCCATTTTTTATTCCAAAATAAATGTAGCAACCTTCACACTTATCCTCGCATTCAAAGTGTTTGGGTGTCTTTAGTAAGGTAAAAACATTTTTTGGGAGTATATGCCCATGTTTTTTAAGCATGGCTAGTAACTCATTTGTACAAAGTCTTTGAAGATTATATCTACTTACAATGACCGCTTAGAGTTTGGTTATCTTTTCTATCAGCATTTTCTTCATTGCTATAACAAATATCAAAATCTGAAGACGTGTCTTCTTCACTTAAGTTAAAATCATAATCGATTTTTTCGTTTTCAGGACATACAGTTTTGTTTAATAAATTTTCAGCATCGTCAATAAGGAAATTGTTTTCTGTTTCAGAGAGTTCACTGCTTAGTATAGGTGTAATTGGGTATTGAAACTCATCTTTTAAAATAGAAGCTAGTTCACCTTGCACTCTTCTGTACTTCCATAAAAAAGCCATATACTTTTAATTAATTTACTTTTTTTAATTTATTTTTATAACCTAATTTCCTTTTTGTTAAGTTAAATATATATATATATATATATATATATATATATATATATATATATATATATATATATATATATATATGTATATATATATATATATATATATATATATATATATATATATATATATATATATATATATATATATATATATATATATATATATGTATATATATATATTTATATATATATATATATATATATATATATATATATATATATATATATATATATATATATATATATATATATATATATATATATGTTTATATATATATATATATATATATATATATATATATATATATATATATATATATATATATATATATATATATATATATATATATATATGTATATATATATATACATATATTTTAAACATGTGTTACTATTTTGTTGTTACAAATACACATATTGAAATAAAAATATTAGAAACTTATTTGTGCATACATATTTTATATCATTTTCTTGTTTGAACTTTTATACAAAATTAACAGTGTTAATTAAGGAAAAAGTTGATTTTTTTTTGGCATAATAATATTCCTTAGTTTTAATCATACTCATTTAATGATGCAATAAGGTAGCTATAAAAATAAAGAGATAACATAATAATTTCTTTATTAAATGACTGATTATACTTTTATGTTATAAATTATTGCAAAATAGCCTGTATAAGCATGCTATTTTTTACTTACTTTGATGGCTAAAATTAATTTTCTAACTTATATAATTATTTTAGTTATAGTTATAATTATTAAAAAATAGCATGCTTACTGTATTTAAAGTATGATATTATCGTACTATATATATTAATCATTTATCTATTATATTGGCATTATGATAGACATTATAACATTATGATATAATACATCGTTAATGTATTATCATTGATAACGTATTATGATAACACCCATGATAACATAGTATACATAAATTCTACTTATGGTACCATTATGATTTTCTACCACATATAACTATACGCTATAGCATATATTTATAGTTTATAAAACTTGTATATAGTTCATATAACAAATAGTTTTTAAACTTGAATTATAAAATTCAAGTTTTAAAACTACATGCTATATAAACTATATACAAGCTTTATAATTATATTACTACAATATATTATATTAGACAAACGGTCACTTTACAAATTAGTTTAATTCGAAGTTAAAAAAATGGCGTCAAACAAAACCCTCTAACTTACGAAAGCATTTTAAAATAAACGGCATTTTTTTAACTTAGAATTTGTAAAGTATTTACTTGGACGTAGTTACGTACGTATACGTATGTAATTACGTTCAAGTCTTTCAAACGACTAAACATAGACATGTTTTTTCTATCAAAAAAACGTTTTGTCTGGCTCAACTGGGAATAAAACGTATTTTATTCGTAATGTAAAGATAAGATAATATACCGATTAGGAAAGACGTTTAAAATATGTTTTTTCCGCATCTGCACTAGACAAGATATGTTAAAGATAGAAACAACACGTCTTTTTTACGTCTTGTGCCGGCTGGGATGTAATCTATTTGGAACAGCATTAGAAGAATTTAATATATCATCAGTTTTTTTATCAAATTTTATATCTTTTTTTAATTTACCGATAGTTCGTTAATTCAGACAAAGAAAGTTTATTAGGATCAACAGCAGATAAGGTGTAGTTACGAAGTTGCTCTTTAATTTTTTGTATTGCTAGTTCTGAATTTCAAATCGCAAATCCACATTGGATTTACCTTTATTTTATTCGACTATTTAAATTCATTTAAAGTTAGTTATTAATTTATAGAAAGATTACTAGCTGTTTTTACATATAAAAATTTGTTTAATGTTTTGCTAACATGTTGTTGCAACTATTCTGCTTTTTGAATAAAAACAGTTTTTTCTAATTTTAAACATTCCTCAGTTGATGCTATAAAGTCCACAAACGGAATAATTTAATTGCGGGTCAAGATATAATAACTTTTCTTGGTTGTTATATAATAGTTTATTGTAAGGTTTGACACTGCATTTTTTACCATATTGCTAGTTGGTAATGAAGTAATATTACGTACGCTAGAAAAATATTTTTCTTTGGTATATTTAAGAATGTTTAACTTACGTATTTAACGATATTTAGTTTTTTCAAATTCAATCTCTCTGGATTTATTGGTAATACATTCTATTGTAACAAAATCTTCATGATTGACAATTAATTGGATTGAACTCCTATGAAACCTTTTTTCGGCGTCATTTTTTGCAACAATCAAAAGTTTAAGTTGATATTTAAGCATAAGATTAAAGCCAGCTTTTGTTTTAATTGGACTGTGTGTATCACACAATTTTGGAATGATATTGTTTATTATCTTATATATATCTTTTTAAAATTATCCATTGATTTTTAGTGGTTGCATTTTTTAATCTTTTCTCTTACTTCCATTTTTTGTTAAACCAAGGACGTATTAATAGATGGACGTTTAACCAATTGTAATAGATCTGAGGTGCCGCGAGTAAACAAAAACCTATGCGAGCTATAATTTTTAGCGTCATTTTTCTGAATAATTTATAAAAGTAAAGATTTTTCCGATAATTTCGCTTTTCTTACTACTTTTTAAAAAGTATTTTTTAAAAGTGCAATTATCTACAAATCTCAAACTTTTTTTTTTTAATTAATGCGTTTTAGTTAATCGGTTAATCATTTTTGTTGTCAAATTTGATACGTGAGCACTTTTTAATAAGAACTTACTATTAATAAAACTTAGACATCAAAAATCATATTTTTGTAAGAAAGTGATACTTAGTTTGCAAGAATGAATGCTGCAAAGTGAAACGAATTTTTTTAGATGTTGTAGGTAAGTATGTAGATCATATATAGATTAAACTATAGATTACTTGTGGTCTGTATTCCCCACACTTAGTTTTCACTATTATTTTAAGCAATTTAATTTATCATTTTTGTCGGAAATTTTGTCTCACAATTTTGTTTTGAAATTTTTCTGTGATTAAATTTTTTTTTCCATGTAAAGATTCCGTTTGAGTTTATAAATCATATAATGAAAAGTTTTTATTTATTTAAAAACTTTTTAGAGATTTTAGGTGTTATGGAAGGTTTAAATATTTCTTAGGCTAGGCGAGACAATTGTTATTTTGACGCAAAATCAAGTAAAAATATTCTCAAGTTAAACATATTTAACATCTGTTCTCTATTGTTTTGCAATTGTTATTTGTAACAAAAAATAGCGCGGTTGTCTTGGCTTTTAAACAATACGTTAAACGTCTATCTTTTAAAACGTCCTTGGTTAAACCATGGAAGTATAAAACAGATGGAAGTTCAACCGCATTTAAATTTTTCGGGACTATGCTTGTAACCTTTTGTTTCGTAAACAATAAGAAAACGACATCAAGACTGTACTTAAACGCTTTATCTTTATACGTTGACGCAAATAGATACGTTTATAATAATTTTAAAATATAGTATTTTGAAGGTTCGCCAATAATATTCATGAAAAACATTAAAAATGGCGCAACGTAACGGCAGACAACAACTTTTTTATAAACTTTATATTAAATGAATGGAGTACTACAAGAATGAATGGAGTTATCATATACAGCTAATAAAACTTTAAATTTTAGTTACTTAGAAAACAATATTTTTGATTTTTTAAAAATTGTTTTAGTTGTCTTTTTTATCAAATGTCGTGTTATGACTTGAAGCAAGAAAAGAAGCTTAAACTAAAATATGCTTTTAAAATTAAGCGGTTCTATTTAATTACCGAGTTTTAATAAAGCTTTTGTTGAATAAATGCAACTACTAATGGTTAAAAATTTGCAACATATCCCTAGAATAATTTTTAATGTTTTAATAAAGATCATTTCAGTAAATTTTGTTGTTTTTTCATCCAGTGAAACTTTTTTTAATTGTCGGTTACAAGCATACTCCCGAGACTACTTGAAATTGCTTTGATGTTTGCGGCTCGATGAACTTCCATCTGTTTTATACTTCCATGGTTAAACTAAATAAATCTTTTACGTTACATCAATTTTGTTTTAATTTTATGAATTTGGTATAATGGTTTTTTTCAGTTTGATAATGGCTTATACTATATTACCCAGAATATCAATATAAAATAATAATAAAAATAATGTATATTGTTGATGTTAATTGCAATCTTCTAACGTTAAACTTTTACTTTATATAATAAAAAGTAAAAGTTTTCTGTCAATCAAATAAACAGTAAATGAAGTATCTTCACAACTTTTTCCTTTACTTAAGAAATATATTATTTACAGAAAAATAGTACTGAACATTATTAACTTTAAAATAATTTGTCGAATTATTAGGCGTATTATTCTGTAAATAAGTTATTTGAAAAATAAAAGCGAAATTTGTTCAGATACTGATATATGTACGAATGTATATATATATATATATATATATATATATATATATATATATATATATATATATATATATATATATATATATATATATATATATATATATATATATATATATATATATATACATATATATATATATGTATATATATATATATATATATATTATATATAATTTGTTTTCAGAACATAGCTAATTGAAGTTTTTCCCATTCAACTATCATATTGTGGGTTCAAAAATATTTTTTACTAAAATTTATTATTTGCCCTAAAGAACCCTCAAAGCCGCAAAACATTTGACAGGTCCCTAATATTATTAAAAAGAAAAATTATTTAAAAATATGTCAACTTGGTACTCAAAAGAAACAAAATTTTATAAAAATTTTAAAAATTAGATTAATTTTTTATAAAAAACAACTTAAAAAAACTTATTATTAAAAATGTTGTAAACATTACCTTTTTTTCATTTTCCGTTTAAAAACCATAGTTTTTATTCAAAAAAACCTAATATTGTTTTTTTTATAAAAAATACTTTTTGTTTTTTAAATTTTTAAATGATATTGCTTCTTTTGAGTACCAAGTTGTCATATTTTTAAATATTTTTTTTTTTCAATTATATTAGAGACCTGTCAAATGTTTAATGGCTTTGAGGGACCTTCAGGGCAACTAATAAAATTTAGTAAAAAATATTTTTGAACCACAATGTGGTAGTTAAATGGGAAAAACTTCAATTAGCTATGTTCTGAAAAAAATTAGCATACAGAACAGCCCTTTATATATATATATATATATATATACATATATATATATATATATATATATATATATATATATATATATATATATATATATATATATATATATATATATATATATATATATATATGTATATATATATATATATATATATATATATATATATATATATATTATATATATATATATATATATATATATATATGTATATATATATATATATATTTATATATATATATATATATATATACATTTATATATATATATATATATATATATATATATATATATATATATATATATATATATATATACATATATATATATATATATATATATATATATGTAAAAAAAAAAAAAAAAAAAAAAAAAAAAATATATATATATATATATATATATATATATATATATATATATATATATATATATATATATATATATATATACATATATATATATATATGTTGTATATGTATAAACTAATAGCATATATTATGTATATATTTTGTTTTTTAAATATCTTCGCTTCCAAAAGTGCTGCAAGCAACCACTAATTAGTGTTAGAAGTTACTGGAAGAGAAAAGATGAAGATTGTAGAGCAAGATAACAGCTAATACATGACTTAAAAGATTGCAAATTATATAAATCAGGAAAGCAAGATGAAGAAAGCGAATTTCAAAAAACTGATGTTCGAGAAAAAAAGCTAGACGAGTAAGAGTTTTTGGAGCACTTAGGAACAGTGACAGAAAAAGGATGAGACTTAATTGAATGACGAGTAACACGATAATGAATTTTAGTAGATGGCACAAGAAATGCTTGCTTTTTAGAGCAGTGCCCTTTATAGTATTTGTAGAAAAGAAAAAGAGAAGCAACATTACGACGATGTAACAGAGGTTAAAGGCTGGCTGCAAGAGCAGGTCTAACTATGTTTACAATGCGTTTTTGCACCTTGTTTTAAAGAGGAAGGGCATTATTAGAAGATATGGCAACAGTATTCCATGCAAGTCCTGATTTGAGATTTATAGAGATAGCGAATAGAATCCAGAGTAGGAAAGTGTCGAGCTCGATAAAAAGAAGAAACTTTAGCAGATGCTAACTTTGCAACGGAATTTATATAAGGTTTCCAAGAAACATCAGAAGTAGAAGTTAATCCTAGAAAATAAAGGGTAAGCGTCTCATTGAGTACATTACCGTTCATAAATATAGGAAGGTCTAATTATTGCGATTAATCTGGTTAATTAAAGTTCATCAGACGCTGTGAGCCCCATGCTGTAGCAGAAGTGAAATCTTCTAAGCTCAGATGCCCCCTGCAAGCAATCAAAGGGGGTTGGCTTCTTATCATGACACGAATAAATGGTAGTATCATCAGCGAACAATGCCACCTTAGATGTGAGAATATTTGGAATATTGTTAATATAAACTAAAAACAGTATAGGGGCAAGAATTAAACCTTGAGGAACCCCTGAGGTTATAGAATAAGAATAAGAGTGCTGTCTATCAAGGACAACTTTTATACTACGATTGGAAAGGAAGGATTCAATAATCTTAAAGATGTTTCCAGATACACCGTAAGAAAAAAGCTTGTTGAGAAGACCAGCATGCCAAATTTTATCAAATGCTTTAGAAATGTCAAGAGCGATGACCTTAACCTCTCCACCTTTATCTAATGTGTGATAAAACCTATCGGTTATTACTGATAGCAAATCAGTCGTAGAACGAGAGGATTGAAATATATATTGATGTTCAGAAAGTAGGTTATGAGATTCAAGATTCGAGATTAGGTGTTTGGTAATTAAAGGTTCAAAAACCTTGCTTATGATATAAAGAAGACTAATGGGACGGTAGATAGACAAATCGGATCGCTCTCCAGAACTTTTAAAAATAGGGATAACAGATGCTGTTTTCTAGCAGGCTGGAAAACAAGACTCTGATAAGCACTTGTTAAATATATTTGAAAGAGTAGACGACAGCCCTGAACAACACACTGCAAGATTATAACGGGTATGTTGTCCGGGCCGCAAGCTATAGAAGAGTCTAAGCAGGAAATCACTTTTGATACAGAAGCTGGAGTGATACGTATGTCGAGCAATGGATCAACCATATATAGTAAAGTACAAAATATGTCAATTTTGTATATAAAGTAAAGCACAAAATATGTCAATTTTGGTACAAAAAGTGATTTTTTATAAATATTTTTATTATTTGTATTTAATTATTATCTAAAATTTTCAATTTTTTTTTTTTATATTTTTACAAAAAGATTAATGACATTAATATACCTATATACAACCCAAACTCTAACCCTAACTCTAACGCTGCCCCTACCTAAACCTTCAGTCGATGTAGCAGCACTTCGATCATCAGCAGGCTATAAGATAGTCGATGTGTGTACTTTTTATTTTGCATAAAAACTACTTACAGGGACAATTTTTTTTTCAAGAAAAACACTACTTACGGGGAAAAAGATTATCTGGTAATGCTTGTTTGACTTATTGTCTTTACAGACACGTTTTTTTTTTTTTTGTTTTTTTTTTTTTGTTTTTTTTGTTCTTTATTACAATATTTAATACAATATTTACAAATATATAATAAGAAAAATTTACATGCAAAAAAATCGTTACAAAAAAATAAAGAATTAAGATAAAGAACGCGGATACTCAAAGAAGACCATACAGGTCTTGTCACTGAGAACCGCTGTTGAAGAACTTTGATCTTAGTTTAGATTTTAGGAAAAACAAAAATAAATAAACACAAGTTTTTAAGTTTTTTAAGTTATGGTCTTTTTGGCTGGAATTAAAGTACTAATTCTTTTGAACCGGATGGTTCAAGCGAAAACAATAATATCATAGTATTCTTAATAAATAAATACGTCTCGCATCTGACTCGATCACTGATTCTTGTTACTCAAATCTATCAGTTACACTGATCTTAATTGTTAATTAATTAATAAATAAACGAAAATAATAAGAATATGATTGCACTAGGTACATCCAAATGCTCTTCAAGATTGTCCAAAAGATTGTGTAGAAGAATTTAGATAGCCAAATGATGGTGTCATTGTGTGAGAAGCCATAATTATCAAATGTTGGTGTATTTACGTTAACGCTTACGCCGACAAAAATGCTAAACCACTGTCAAAGGATGATTAACTTCCAAAAGTATCATACATACAATGTTTGCAGATACATCCAGTCACATACATCAAATTTTTTTTTGTATTTTTTTTTTGTTGTTGTTGAATTTGTAACAATCTATGCTTAATCTTATAATTTTCACTCGACTTTTAACTCACTCGTTTTTTATTTATAAGTTTGCAATTAGTTTAAGTAAAATGTCTAAGTTTCATTTTTAATATTTCATACATTAAAATAACAAACATCATACCAATATTATAATTTCCAATAGCATTAGACATTCTAAATTCTAAACTGACAAGCCAACATAATTACCTTTTAGTAAAATAGTAACTCATGTTACAATTCTGAGTTTTTCAATGCAGACACTTTGCTAAGTTAGATTCTTTACTTAAATCAGCATATATTGGCTTTATTTTATGAATAAAATTCACAGGATTTTCAGTTTCAGGTTTTTATGTGCAAGAAGAATTAGTTTTATTGATGTTGTACTTGCACCAACTATCACATTCAGTTAGGCAGTAAATGTGTTAGTTGTTTTCTTTACAAGAAGTTAAAAAGGCTGGCCAAAATTGCTTTTTTCATTTCATGCAAGTTGTTTGTATTTTTTTGAATGGCAGCATCGACCTAACCCTAACCCTAACTCTGCATTACTTGGATAGCCGCGCCACCAAGACCACTAGGCGTGTACCAATTCGCCTTTCGTAATGTTCTGCACACTGTAACTTTTTCGCCTCAATGCCAAGGTATATATTTTTGATAAAAAAAGGAGATTTATTTTCAACACACCAAGAAATTTGGTAAATCATATTTTGAGTTTTTCATTGGAACGTTTAAAAACTCTCACTGCACCAACTGACCCCATAACCTGATAATTTTACAAGCAAATGTGATAGTTGTACCCTGAAAATTGTACAAGCAAATGTGCTGGTTTTGTCAATCAGCATATGCATTAGGATTTGATCTTCTTTAACTTTCTTTCATAGAGCAAGTTTTACGTGACATATTCATCAGTTTAACATCAATTACTTTCCCACTTTCTATTAAATAGTGGTAAAAGCACCACTTATCTACTTAAATCTTCATTTTTGCCATAATCCATCTCATGACACACCAACATCATCAATATTATCATCAGCTTCATTTTCTCTCATTTCATTTGCAGTATCAGACATTGTCTCATCTGCTTCACTTTTTACAATTTTTTTTTTATTTTTGTTGTTATTTTTGTATCGTTTTAATGGTGTCATGGGTTTAGGTAAAAGCACAAAATAGTTTTGAACCTTTTAGATATAAAAAAAAGATGCTAGATCTTTCCTTTTTCAGTTGTGATCACCAAAGTACAATGTACAATTTTCATATTGACATAGTACTAATGAAAAACTTAAGATAAGTTTTCTGTTTCTATAATCCAGTAACCACTTTTTTCTTTTTTCAGTTAATAGTTTTGTAATAACTTTTACTTTTTTATCTGATGATTTTAAAATATTTTTGCATTTTTAAGACTGATTTTTGCCTTTTGAATTTTCAGCAACAACAAAAGGGTATTTGCTGTTACCATTGGTTAGGAGGGTCCTGTGTCATCAAAGTAGCGAACCTTTTCATTACCAAGGAAATATGGAAAAAGCAAATTTTGTGTGCCATTTATTTAAAACTTTATGTTTGTTTCTCGTCTTTATATAAGTATATTGTGGAAATATGTTTTTTTAGCTGATGTGTTGTCTGGTTTAACTAGAACGTTTCTTTGTCAAATGTTCATAAGATTGGTTTTGGAGGATATAATAGCATTATGAGATTTGTTAGCCGGATATTTGTCCAATGAATAATCTAGTTTTTAGTCTGTTTTAGTATGCAAGTTTTAACATTTTTGTTTAGTGACTTTATAATTCAATCATTTCAATCACTGTCGTCATAAATTTTAACCAAATACAAGGTGTTTTTATAATTTAATATGAATTACTTTCATCGTACTTAGTGACTGTAAGTCATTATCACTCTAAATCAGAGGACGCCTCTGGGTGTGAACTTTTTATTGTTTAAAGGTACCTTTTACATTAAGACTAAAAGGTTTGATCTGTGTTTTTTATCATATAGTGTTTGTCCAACCCTACTTTACACACATACCCATCCATTGCAATGACCTTGTCTTCATGCTAGTTTCAATTTTCAACTAGTTTTTAAACAAATGTTTATGATATTACTTAGTATTAAAAGCATATTACAAATTAAAGATATAATTTTGTTTAAAAATTTAATAATGTATACTTATTTTATAATTCATAGTTTAAAATTATAATCAGTTTATTTTATTACATGTTTTTTGAAAAAGAACTTTCTATACAAATCTTTTTAAATGGTTTTTTAGATTTTTTTTATTTTTTATTATTCTACATTTTTTATATTATAAGTTTTTAACAAAGTTTTTACGCTAATTTTTCAGAATTATCAGAATGACTCAAGACTTTTTCCGTTGCCAGCAGTTTAAGTTAAAATTGAGTAGAGTTGTTGGAGAAAATTGGAGAAATCTAGGATTTTGGTTAAAAATTAATGAAACTTTTCTAAAAGCAATTGATGAAGACTATTCTAAAACTAATGACAAAGCATACGAAATGTTAAAGAAATGGATGCAACTTGAACCAACTCTTGAGGATTTAAGAGCAGCTTTATGTAGCATGGAGAGAATGGATTTAGTTCGACAAGTAGACGAACTTATAAGTAAATATTTTTTACTATTGCCTAAGTATAAACATATATATATATATATATATATATATATATATATATATATATATATATATATATATATATATATATATATATATATATATATATATATATATAAATGTATATATATATATATATGTATATATATATATATATATATGTATATATATATATATATATATATATATATATATATATATATATATATATATATATATATTTAATTATATATATATATATATATATATATGTATACATATATATATATATATATATATATATATATATATATATATATATATATATATTTATGTATATATATATATATATATATATATATATATATATATATATATATATATATATATATATTTATATATAAACATATATATATATATATATATATATATATATATATATATATATATATATATATATATATATATATATATATATATATATATATTTGTATATAGTAAACAAATTATTTCCGAATTTTCTATATAATGACTTTCTAAAGTGCTTTCAGAAGTATTACTGCAGTCGTAAATTTTTATTTAAATCATTTTCAAATCAATATAAATCAAAAAGTAACTTTAAATTGCAACTATTTTTCTTTTAAAATAAAGGGAAGACTGCATAAAATGATTACAATGTCATATAATAGTAAACCAGTTTTTTGATTTGATAAATTATTAGAAGTTTAATGACTACTCTAAAAAACAAGTAAAATACGTGCGCAAAAGTATTATCCAATTTCTGGACTGCTGAGACCACAAAAGTAGTTTCAGCAGTCCAGGAATTGGACGTCAGCTTGAGACCAGCCAATGCCGCGTTAGAATAATACTCAAAAACAATAATGAGTTGAGTACAGTTAAAGACAAAAGTCGATCTGTTGTCGTAAAAATTTGTCAAAAAAAGGACCAAAAATAAACCAACTATGCTCGCTAGACGCAACCCAAACATGAGCATGGCTAAAATTGTCTTCAACCTGAATAAAAAAAAGATATTTACTAAGTTAGCCTGTTAACAATTAGCAAGCTGAGGAAGAAAAAAAAAAACCAACTTGTACCTTGCAACAAAGAAGCCACTACTAAACTTCAAAGATAGTATTGTTAAATGTGTGAATATGTATTTATATTTGTATATGGGTATGTATGTTTGTTATGTTATGCTATGTATGTATATGTGTATGTATGTGTGTGTATGTATATGTACGTGTGTGAATATACATTTATTTTACTTTTATCATTGTATTTTTATTACTGTTACAACTACAACTTTTACTTTTATCTTGATTATTATTTTTTACTTCTTCAACTTTTAATGTTTGTTTTGTTACTGCTGTGGAAGATTAATATTACTATTTGCTAACTTTTTGGCTTTTACTTAAGATTAGTACATGTACTATTTGTAAACTTCCGCGAATGTGACAACTATTTTAGACTATATATATATATATATATATATATATATATATATATATATATATATATATATATATATATATATATATATATATATATATATATATATATATATATATATATATATATATATATATATATATATATATATATATATATATATATATATATATATATATATATATATATATATATATATATTTATATTATATATATATATATATATATATATATATATATATATATATATATATATATATATATATATATATATATATATATATATATATATATATATATATATATATATATATATATATTTATATATATATATAACGGAGTGCTGCTACATCGTCTGACAAATAGCCTGACTCGCAAGGGAGTGCTGCTACAACGACTGACAATTAGCTTCACTCGCAAGAGAGTGCTGCTACATCGACTGAGGGTTTGGTTTGGCCAGGCAGTCTATCAATTTAAAAAAAAAAAAAAAAAATTTATAAAACTTTTTCTGGTCTGGTTTATTAACGCGCTCTTTAAAACTAAAGTTTATGGAAAACTTTTTTTGATGCCATGCAAGAGACATGCAAGAGTATATATATATATATATATATATATAATATATATATATATATATATATATAAATATATATATATATATATATATATATATATATATATATATATATATATATATATATATACATATATATATATATATATATATATATATATATATATATATATATATATATATATATATATATATATATATATATATATATATATATATATATATATATATATATATATATATATATATATATATATATATATATATATATATATATATACTATTGCACGTCTCTTGCATGGCATCAAAAAAAGTTTCCCAAAAACTGTAGTTTTAAAGAGCGCGTTAATAAACCAGACCAGAAAAAGTTTTGAAAATTAAATTTTTTTTTTTAATTGATAGACTGCCTGGCCAAACCAAACCCTTAGTCGATGTAGCAGCACTCAGGCTATTTGCCAGTCGTTGTAGCAGCACTCCGTTGCGAGTCAGGCTATTTGTCAGTCGATGTAGCAGCATTCCCTTGCGAGTCAGGCTATTTGTCAGTCGATGTAGCAGCACTCCGTTGCGAGTCAGGCTATTTGTCAGTCGATGTAGCAGCACTCCGTTGCGAGTCAGGCTATTTGTCAGTCGATGTAGCAACATTTACGCATGTTTTAAAAATGTTTTTTATTAAATCAATAACAAAAACACCACTAATTAAAAAAAACTTTCTAGTCGTTATAATTGTGGTTTTTTAAAATTTTTTTAAAAAACAATTAAATTTAATGTACTTCCGCATAAATTAATTGCTTTGACATTTCAATGACAATCAAAAACAGCTTAAGAGTTGAATCAATCTTTTGAGTTGGATATACTGCAAAGTGCAAATAAGCAGCACCTTGGTGCAGCTCAAGACTAAAATGCAAGCATTGTAGGATACCGTGCTACAAGATCTAATCAAAAATCTATTGGATTCCAAGCTGCGTAGAGTCTTGGAATTTCAAAATAAGAAAGGTTACCCTATAAAATAATAAATCTTTAAAAGATTATAAGTGTGCTATTACTTTTGCATAACTTTTATTATCTTACTTTTGATATTTTTATTGTATTCCCTAAAATTAAAGATGATAACAAAGCAGTTTTTTATTTGACACTTTGTAATTCTGTTAACTTTTATATTTAAATTTTAAATAAAATCAATCTTTTGTTGTTTTTAAACAACACTCATTTGAAGTTGGCTAAGATTAAAAATCTACGAATGTGCTAATATTTTTTGCAAGTACTATATATACATTTATTTAATTGTATTAAAACTGCGATGATCACCGCATTATATGCGACCAAGAAAAGTTTAAGCCTAACATATATATAAGAATATATTTACTATACTTTTAATACTATATACATCACTCTGTTTGCGTTAAACAGTAAAAAAATTGAATTAATAACTATTAAGTTTTTTTTTTTTAACATTTGTTAAACCATGGCTCCAAATTCTTTTGTTTTTTTATAATGCAACTATGTAACTACTTAGTTAAAACTGTACAGTGTAACTATCATTCGTTGTTTAAATATACTTTTAAAGTTATACAATTTTATTTACTATTGATGAGATTTTTATTTCAAAATAAAATTCCTTTTTTTAAAGGGTGCGTCAAGAAAATATCAAACTGCTTGAATTTTAAAGATCCAAATGATGGACACACCATATCAGACACAGTCACTATTCCCAATCTCTATTAAGTATTTTTTTTTTTTTTTATTTGCATTAAGTCCCAACAAGGCTGTAAGCAACCACTATTAAGTTGGGAGTTACTAGGAAAAAAAAGAACAGAGTTATAGAGCAAAGAAACGGTTGACAGAAGACTTGAAAAGTTAAAGGTTGTATGAGTCAGGAAAACATGAAGATGGAAGAGAGTTCCAAAGGATTGAAGTGCGGGGAAAAAAACTAGATGAATAAAAGTTTTTAGAGCATGCATGGACAGGTACAGTAAACGAATGCGACTTAGCTGAATGACGAGTAAAACGAGAATCAATTTTAGTTGATGGAACTAGAGATGATAACTTCTTTTGAGTAGTGACCATGATAGTATCTGTAGAAAAGAGAAAGAGATGCAACTTTACGATGATGGGAGAGAGGTTCAAGTTTAGCAGTTAGTCCAGGTCCAACAACATTTACAATGCGTTTTTAAACCTTGTCAAGAAGAGAAAGTGAATCGTTAGAAGAACCAGCCCAAATATGACAACATTATTCCATACAGGGACGAATAAGAGATTTGTAGAGGTAGAGAATGGAATCAGAAGTAAGGAAATGGCGATCACGATAAAGAGAAGCAACCTTAGCAGAAGCTAAATTAGCAATCGATTGTATATATGGTTTCCATGAAAGGTCAGTAGTAGGCGATAATCCAAGAAGACGTAAACAGGAGGACTCAGAAAGAGGATTGCCATTCATTAATATAGGAATGTTGACCATATTACGGTAGTTGTTTGCAGTAAGCAATTGTGTTTTTTTAGAGTTGAAATTCACAAGCCACTGTGAACCCCAATCTATTATTGAAGTGAGATCAGATTCAAGATCAGCTGCTTGTTCTAGGCGATCGAAAAGAGAAGACTTTTTGTCAAGACAGGAGTATAAAGTTGGGTCATCAGCAAAAAGAGCTACTTTAGATGAAAGGTTGTCAGGAAGATCGTTTATGTAGATAAGAAAAAAACAGGGCCGAAGATGGAATCTTGGGGAACCCCAGAAGTTACTGGAAATTAAGAAGAGTGTTGACCTTCAAGGATGGCTTCAATAAACCGGTTAGAAAGAAATGATTTGATAATCTCAAAAAATTTCCCATAAATACTATATGAAGCAAGCTTATGGAGAAGACCAGCTTGCCAAACTATTAAAACTAAATTTGAAAACATTATTTTATTAAAAGCGATTTACCTGAATGTATTTTTATTTTATGTTATTAATAGTTAAAGATAATGAGTATAAGATAATTATTAAATGAATTATCGTTTTACATTACTCTAATCCATATTTAAAAAAGATTTTATAGTTACAAGGTAAGCTAACTTTTTGTAAACCTTGGAGATAAACTTTGTAGGTATAAGATAAGTTAAAGTCTAGTAATTATAAAAAAATAAAGAAGGTAACTTAAAAAAAGTATTATTAATATTTAAATTGACTTAACTACTTTTACACTGAGCATTTTACTGTGTATAAATAATAGTTACTACTTTAAAGTAAATATTTAAAGTAATAATAATATAATGAAAAACATTTTGACGTTTTAACAAGAAAATGTTTTGTTTTAGCTTAATATTTATTTAGTAATTTTTTTGAAGAAAACACAATTTGACTAAGTTTGATTTCATCCTTCAGATAAAAAACATTTCATAATTATTAATAGTTTTAACTCTTGTAATTTATCCATTGTTCTTGGTGTTCCTTAAGATTCTGTTGTTCATTCTCTTGTTTTTAATATATGATAATGATATAAACAATTATATTCACTTTTGGTCATTGCATTTATTTTCTGAGGATACGAATAACCATTACAAAAACAAACTTTTGGTTTTTTAATTCAAACAAATCAGTCTTTTTAAAAACATAAAACTCCAATCTTCCGGCACTAGTAAAAATTACTAAACTTCATTTTGTATTTTACTATATTTACTTACTTCCGTTAAAATACATTCATAGTCTCCTTTAAATATTTATAATAAAAAGCCTAAAGTGCCATCATAAAAAAAGAAGAATAATAAGCATTCTTTTGTTTACCATATGTGAATGGAACAAAAGCTTGTATGCATTGTCAATGCGAAACTACAATTTAAAACACTTTAATTCTCTTTTCTTTGTATTAAAGAATATCTATTTTAATCAGACTTCTGTATGAATAAAGTTATTTTTAACAATCTAAAAATTATAAAATACTGTTTAACTTACAATTCATAATTAATAAGTTATTATTAAATTAATATTATTTTTTTAAGTCAACTTATTATAAAATACTGTTAAACTTACAATTTATAATTAATAAGTTATTATTAAATTAATAATTTTTTTTTTCAACTTCTTTTATTTTTATTTTTTAGCATTATAATTTATTATTATCACAATATTATTCTTATTACTGTTTTTATTAGTTATAGTTACTGTAATTGTTATAATTACTATCATTGTAAATATTTGTCAAGAAATCAAATAACGTCGACGTTGTTGTTGTTGTCAGCATCTTAAAATTTTTTAAGAATAAAAAGAAAGAAAAGTTTTATTTGCGGATTTTTCAACTTAATTTTAAAATTATTTTTTAAGATAATCAGCTATCATTTTCAATGGGCAATCGACATGAATCAACTCTAAATGATAAAAAACATATTCCAGGTAAAAAAACAATTTCATGCTATTTTATTTTCTTCTCACTACTTGTTTTTGAAAGCTTAAAAACAAGCAAAGTTATTATAGTCATAAAAAAGCAATGTTATTAATAAAATGTTAAAAGAATTTATGTGCATAAATCTTACTTTTACATGCATTACAAACAAATTGCGTGCATACAACTTATGTGCATAAAATATAATATTACATGCATGCATATAATACACGCAAGTCCTGCAATTATTATATGTATACATGAATTAAAAATAGGAAGCGCAAAAACGCATATATATATATATAAGCGCATATATATATATACAGTACTAGTGCTTGATTTACGGGTACATTTTTTTTTTCTATGTCAATCGCATTTTTTATTTCTCTATTTTTACTATATTTTTCATATAAGTTTTTTTTTTATATTTTCATTTTATGTCAATTTTTATTTATTCATTTTTAAATTTATTATTTTTGTAAAAAGATTTATTTTTTATAAATATTTTTTATCTATTATTAAAATTAAATTATTACCTATTATATTTTATATTTTTATATATATATTTACAAAAACGATTATTTACATTAAAATAACTAACCCTAACCCTTACCCTAACAATTAGCCTGACCTTGCTGCCTGGCCAAATCAAACCCTCAGTCGATGTAGCAGCACTCCCTTGCGGGCCAGGCTATTTGTCAGTCGATGTATGTACTTTTCCCTTTGCATAAAAACTATTTACAGGGACATTTTTTACAAAAAAAACGCTACTTACGAGGACAAAAAATTATCGAGTACACTAAAATGTCCCCGTTACTGCTAAGCGAACATGCTACTATATGGATATATATATATATATATATATTTATATATATATATATATATATATATATATATATATATATATATATATATATATATATATATATATATATATATATATATATATATATATATATACGTGTGAGTTTACAGTATTTAAAAATTCCTCAAAACTAAGCATACAAAATACAATACAAAATATATTACATTAACAGGTATACGTATAATTGTCTTCATTAAATTTGTTTCACAAAAACTCTTTTTTTTACCAGCTAAATAAACTCATCAGTTTATTTCACATTAATCTAAATAAACAAATGACAAAAATAAAATCAGATCAGATCATAAGCAGTTTAAAAATTATTAATATAAGTTCATTTACAAGTCCAAATTACCCAGCCAGCATTTGGTCCAAAAAGAATGTTTTTCAGGATCAAATGTGGGCCAGGTATGTTCTGCTAAAATACATTTAAAAAGTTTTTTTAGCAAAATATAATTTCCAAACTTATAACATATAACATTCTACAATTATATATCACAAATGTGTTTAAGATTTACATCCATGTTTCCACACTCGTATGGTTCAGATGGTTCTCCATAGTAGTGGCTCTCTCAAAAAGATTTGCAGCAATATTTTACAAACAGATGCCCAAACGTCGTATGGATGGCGTACAACCTGCTTAAGCAGGATGTACTACATGGTACCAGTAGCAAGATAACCTGATTTGACGCTTGACAAACAGACCTAAAAAATATGGATATGAAAAGAAATTAGGTCATGCACAAAACGAAAACAGAAGATAAAGCATTAATGACATTAAAAAAAGCAGACATCAATATCTGTATTCTGTGTCACAAATATTTAATATTTGTGACAATAAAAACTGAAACTACAAATATATATTTTTATTCTATTTTAGTAGAAAAATGTATAACTTATAATATTTTTTTTCTGGTAATTTATTTAAGCTCTTACCTTAAAAAACCTTTATACAGTTAGTGGCAAAGGCAGGTTTTTTTAGGTTCCATATTTGACACTTTCAGGCTTTGTGCATACTTCAAACTTTTTATGTCTGCCTGGAATGACAATGAAAAAAATAAATTATAATCTATTATTTGTTATAAATAATACATAGCTGCTTGAAAACTAAAATAACCAAAAAATTTTGCTCTCCTATATATCTGAATATGAGGGAAATGAGTTCATATTAGCATTCAAAAGTTATGATGCAATTTGCAACCTCCTCACTTAAGGAGGGAAACTAATCTTTATATGGTCAAAACTTTTGAAAGCTAAAATACTAATAAAGTTACAAACCTGTTGATGAAATTTAATTTAATATTAAATAAAATACTTTTATTTACAGAACTCATTTCCCTCACATTCAGGGATGGGAAAGGGCAAAACGTTGTCATTCGACATAAGGATAAAAATAATTAAGTTTGCAGATTGGAAAATGTGCTTGAATATGTCTTGATAAAAAAATACAACCTATGCTATTGCACATGCATTTACATATACTCTATAGTGTAATGTATACAGATAAACAATAACCATAATAAATAATTTAACAAAACAAAACTTATTAGATAATTATTAAGTAACTATTATTAAAAATTATTTGCATAGCAAAACAAAATACAAAAAGTAAACACATACTTAACAACCGACACTTTCTCAGTGGCATAGCTAAAATTACCACCAACATTTGATAACTGAAGCCTCAAAAAAAAATACAGTTAAGAATAAATAGTATTTTATTCAACACAGAATGTTTTGGTTCAAAATCATAGTTCTAAATCAAGAATTGTGTTGAAGCTGGCAACCAAATTGAAAAAGCAAAGTAGACAGATAAAACCATGCCAATACAACATTTAATCATTATATCTGGTTTAAACAATTTGATTTACGTTTAAGGAGAGTATTACAAATGAGGAGAGTATTATGTATTACTATATTCTTTTCTACTTGTTTATCTATCATATTTAATGATCGTCTGTTAGAATATAAAAAATTGCAAATAAAAATCCAAAATTTCAATAAAAAACAAAAAACTTTCATTAACAAATATATATTCGTAACATATTACTGGGTGTTGTAGGGGCCTTGTCTTTTTCACATCTTTGTTTTTATACCAAATTGTATACATTTTGATAAGAATTGGAAAAGTTATAACATTTGAAGTTACAAAAAACTATCAATTTTGTCATTATTTTTTCAAGAAATCCTTATAAAATTTTCTACTAAAAATATCATGTAAAATTTTGATTTTTTCACCATTAAAATATAAAACAATCATATTCTAACATTAATAAATGTATTATTTAATTTGTGTGTGCACTAAATGTTAATTCATTGATGTATTAATTTATCATACGTATTTTTATTAAATGTTGCAAAAGTATAATAAATTAAAATTTAAAATATATATATATAAAAAAGTGCAACTTTCAGCATAAAATTCAAAATTCTATGTAGATGGAATGTAAAAATAATAATCATAAGAATACAGTAAACTCCCAATATCTCAAACCTCAGATAACTCGAACTTTCCTGTAACTCAAAGTACTTTCGATTATTATTAGTAGTACACATATAATTTTTTTTACTGTTATATCTTGTTACTATATTATTTATGTATGTTACTAAATTATATATGAATCGATTCATATATATCATATTGTCATATATATCATATTATGATATATAATATAGGTACATGCATCTATAATATAGTAACAGGGACTAGGTTATTGACAGTTAACTTCCAAGAAAATAAAATTACATATATATAAAAATAATGAAAATTTAGATTTATCGACTGATTTTTATTATATTATTACTGTATGAGTATATAATCTTAATTTTATAATTTTATTTCCTGACATTTATATTTTAAGTATTACGTTTAAAAAAAAAACTATAATACTTAAAATATAAATGACAGTAAATAAAATAGGATTTTATACTCATACAGTAATATAATAAAAAAATTAGCTAATCAATCTAAATTTCATTATTTTTATATATATCTAATATGACATAAAAAATAAAAAATATAAAATATATAAAAATAAAGAAAATTTAATGACATATAAAGTAAAAAAAAACATGTCACGACATATATATGTCATATAAAGTCATATATAGTTTTTCTTTACTATATAAACAATCTTTGTATATTTTATTTATCTATATACATATCTAAATATAAAACACATATGATATATAACAATTATTCAATAAGTAATTGTGACCTCTTCATACGAGAATCGCCATTATTAAAACACCTTTAATAATGACATTTAATAATGACATTTACCTTTAATAATGACATTTCGCGTCATTAGACGTAATAAAAAGGTTTTACAAAACTGAAAGTGATAAATTTTCCAATTTTCGGAACGGACGAGAAAAAGACGTTCATAAGACGTCTTATTATTGTTCATATTGTGAATAAATCGAGCGGACGTGAACTGAACGTACATAAGACGTCTTTTTTCCGTCGTGTGCCCACTGGGTGGTGATAATGACTTCTTTATTTGGTACACATTCATTACATGCATAAAAACTATCCATATTTTATCAATTAATTTTTACTTATTAATTAAAAGATAGCAATAAATATGCTTTTTTATTTAAAAGTTTAGAAGCGACAACTTTCATTTTTTAGGTTGTATTTTCATACGACGAAAAAAATGCGATAAAAAAATTTGAGTTACAGCGCCTTAAACCTGAATGTGAGATTCTTACAATAAGAAAATATAATTTTCTATCGTCATTAAAAAACCTTGAAGATGAAGTCACTAGTTTTATTAACAACCATGCGTCTAGCGAAGAAGTTAAAGAAAAATTAGTATTTCGATACGAGGAATGTAAAAAAGAGGATATTAATCGCATTGACAAAAAATGGGCCAAAAATTAACTTCTACTAAAACAGCGTATGAAAAAAACAGAAATAATCAAAATTCTAAAATTTTGAAAAATAACGAACAAGAGGATAACCACTAAAACCATAACATCAATTGCTCAACTTCCATTAGCTCAACTAATATAAATAATAATCATAATCAAACATCAGACATTATAACTTCAAAAAACTGGTCAAGCCCAATCCAAAAAAAAAATACAATTTAAGGTCATCAACTTATCAACTAAACACCTGACAACATCTCAAATATCACTTCTTACAAAAGGTCCAAAGTTTTGCCCTACTACTAAAGGAAATATTTTACACATTGATTCTGATATAAAACAATTCACAAGGAAACTAATACTTAAAGAAAAATTTTATGGAACGGAGAATACAGACATAAGCATAATTAAAAAAAAGTCAAATCATAATATCAAAACAACTCTTCCATATCTTGATGAAATCATTTCAAAAATTGAACAAATTAAACCTATTAAAATGCAGTCAGTTGATAACATTACTCAACAAGAAAGGATAGCATTAAAAGATTTAAAAGAAATGAAAAATATAGTTATTAAAAAAGCAGACAAAGGAAACATTTTTATTGTAATGGATTCAACTTATTATAATTAAAAACTAGTTCATCTTAATTAATCTTCGCATCGACGGGCTTCCTGAAAACGATCAAGAAACCTGGGATGAAACCGAAAAAAAGTTACCCTATTTGAAAACGTGTTAAACATTAAAAACATTGATATTGAGAGGGCTCATAGAATTGGAAAAAGAGAAGAAAGTAAAACTAGAACAATTGTAGTTAAAATACTACATTACAAAGACAAAATAAAAGTTTTAAATTCATCAAATCAACTTAAAGGAACAGGAATATACATTAACGAAGACTTCTCTTTTGAAGCAACAATCATAAGAAAAAAACTCTTAGAAGAAATGAAGATGCATAGAAAAAATGGTAAATATTCTATTATAAAATATGATAAACTTATAGTTAGAGAATTTAGGAAAAAGCAAGCGAGTGCTTAATTACTTTATTTATTTATTTTTTTTCTATTTTTTATTCTTTTTAACAGTTTTTTAAAAAAAAAAAAACCTTCTTATGAATGATAATAATGATTCAATTAACTTAGAATTTAATTCATTACAAAATAAAAATAGGATACTTTTAGATAAAACTTCTGACCCGGATAATAATTTTTATAGTAATAATAAAGCTTTTCAAAATAATAATACTTTAGATTATAAACCTAAATCTGGAAACATAATGCAAGGAATAGATGTAAATTCATTTTCAATTTTGCATTTAAACATTAGGAGCATTTCAAAAAATTTTGAATCATTTAAAGAATTTTTATGCGAGATTAAATTCAATTTTAAATTTATTAGTCTCAGCGAAAGTTGGTGTTCTGATAAATATATTATGTCAATACAAATTTTTAACTGCCAAATTTTAAAATGATTCATCAATTTAGAGAATCTGGGAAGATAGGAGGGGGTTTGTGTGTATTTATAAGCAATACTTTAGTATACAAACTAAGAAAAGATTTGTGTTCAACCACTAATGATTGTGAATCACTGTGCGTGGAAATAATAAATAAAACCACAAAAAACATTATCATCCACGTTTTATACAGACCACCTTCCGGTTCAATAAAACAATTCGAAAATTATATTAAAAACATAATTAAAAATAAGTTAAGCAAAAATAAAAGCGTTTATTTTGTAGGTGATTTTAACCTGGACATGAACATGCGTCATTTAAATACAAAAACAAATAATTTCTAAAGCGTCATTTATCAGAAAAGCTATATTCCACTTATTAATAAACCCACAAGAATAACTAGAGAAAGCGCAACTGTTATAGACCAAATAGTAACAAACGAATTTAAATCGAAAATAAAAACGGGTATATTTAAATGCGATATTTCAGATCACTTCCCTATGTTTCTTATCTCACAAAAATGCGATGATATCTATGCAAAAAAAATTGAAAAAATTACACGACAAATAGATGAAAAATCTAATGAAAATTTTAACAGTCTTCTAGCAGATTTAAACTGAGATGACCTCCTTGATATTGTACACACAAATAAAGCATACAATAAGTTTCTAGATAAATTACAACAACTTTATAATACAGCATTTCCATTAATTACAAAATGTGTGAAAAAAAGACGTTATCAAATCCATGGATAACTCCGGG